GGTATCAGCATTCCTCACCTGACCAATGAGATACATCTGTGATTCTTCTTTCAGCTTCTAGAACTCCTCCCCTTCGTAAGACAGAAAAGGCAGACTACTTGCAGAAAGTCAAGTAGCTAGACATGGATCAGTTCACTGACTGCTGTGATACTCCTCTGCCTGGAATGATAAGTGGTAATTAAAAAGCACAACAGGGCGCCTGGGTGGCTCAGTTGGTTAAGCGACTGCCTTCGGCTCAGGTCATGATCCTGGAGTCCCGGGATCGAGTCCCGCATCGGGCTCCCTGCTCGGCAGGGAGTCTGCTTCTCCCTCTGACCCTCCCCCCTCTCATGTGCTCTCTCTCATTCTCTCAAATAAAATAAAATAAAATAATCTTAAAAAAAAAAATTTAAAAAAAATAAAATAAAATAAAATAAAATATAAAGCACAACACCCTCAGTCAAGACACAGCCAGCAAGCAGACCTCAGAAACATACCCCTTCCCATTTCTCTGCGGCTAGGACATGTGACATGGGCTAACCATCAGACACTACCCAACTTCCAGAAACACCTGAGCCAACACAGCAGGCTCAGCTGTGAAAAAGTAAGGCCAAGGAGGCATCAGAGAAACAGATGGTAGATGGAACACTTCAGAAGTCCAAGATTTGGGGAGCACCTGGGTGGCTCAGTCAGTTAAGTGTCCAACTCTTGATTTCGGCTAGGGTCATGATCTCAGGGTCATGAGACTGAGCCTGGAGTTAGGCTCTGCAATGGGCATAACGCCTGCTTTAAGATTCCCTGTCTCCCTCTGCTCCTACCCTCCTCCTCTCTCCTTCTCTTAAAAAAAAAAAGTTTTTAAAAAGTCCAAGATTTGGAAGAAAATAAAAATAGTAAAGACTTGGGGGCGTCTGGGTGGCTCAATCGTTAAGCATCTGCCTTTGGCTCAGGTCATGGTCCCAGAGCCCTGGGATCCAGCCCCACATCAGGCTCCCTGCTTGGCGGGAAGCCTGCTTCTCCCTCTCCCACTCCCCCTGCTTGTGTTCCCTCTCTCGCTGTGCCTCTGTCAAATAAATAAAATCTTAAAAAAAAAAAAATAGTAAAGATTAAACTCAATTCTAGCCCCTTTGGAGAAGTCCAGGTAAAAATCATCCCTCCCACCTCTACCTCCACACATACTCCATTTCTTCTCCAACTCTCTTAACAGCATTAGGTTTTGAGGCAGACAATATGGAGTAACATCAGAAAAGGACAAAACAACTTCTGCTCTGAATTAGGAATATCATTAAGAAGGGGCACCTGGGTGGCTCAGTGGGTTAAGCAGCTGCCTTCAGCTCAGGTCATGATCCCGGGGTCCTGGGATCGAGCCCCGCATCGGGCTCCCTGCTCAGTGGAGAGCCTGCTTCTCCTTCTCCCTCTGCCTGCAGCTCTGCCTACTTGTGCTCTCTCTGTCAAATAAATAAATAAAATCTTTAAAAAAAAAAAAAAAGGAATATCATTAAGTAAAGCAGAAATGGCATTCTTACTAATCCCCATGCTTATAAACATGTAATGGCCAAGGAGTTTCCTGGGCCTGCAACACACTTTAGGCAACAGGCTCAGCGATTAGAAACAGCTCTGCTGGTTGGCAAATGGAACCAGGAGGGACATATTCACAGCTTTGATCCTTATAAAGGCCCAAGATTTTACCTCAGATCTTTCCATGACAGCCCTTAGCTACAGCCAGCCATCTCAGGAGAAGTCAAACAGGATGGGTAACAAGGGAACTAGACCTAAGGCACCACACCTTGGGAAAACTTAGTGAGCTCTTCAAGAGCAGGAATTCTTTCTCACTTTAGTGTCCTCAATATCTTCCACTGGACCTGGCACCTAGGAGGGCCTTAAGAAAATAAGGTGAATGGTCAAATATCCTGCTGATGAGAGCAGGCTCATGTTGAGAGGAGGAGGGTAGCATAGTGCAAAAGAAATCACCGTGGCATCAGAACTGGGTTGAAAGCCTGGCTACAACAAACTTTTTGACCTTGGCCAAGTCACTTAACTTCACTGAGCCTATTTTTTCTTCTGTAAAATGGGGTAATACCAATTATTTTACAAGGTTGATTGGAAGACTGGATGAGATAATGTTCTCCCACTTTTACTAGTCTGGCGTTGGGGTGGTAACAGGTAGATCTTTTGGATATAACACATGCCTTGATGGCTGTATTAGAGAGAGAATATAGGTAAGACCATGCATTCTCAATGAGGGCAGTATCGCCCCCAAGCGGGGCAGGGAATGATTCTTCGGGAAGAAAAATCTTAGATATTGTAAGTTTATGGCCTTCCAAAGGGCCACAGTATAAGTGGATACATGGTATATCTGTGGTATTGAAATTCCATGGGGAGGGGACAATTAGGGGAAAAAGTCTCAAAAGGTGATAGTGAACAAAAGGTTGAGAATCACTTGATTAGATGTCTAAAGAGCTGACCCACTACCTTTAAGAACCTGACCACACTGGCACCCTGATCTCACACTTCCAATCTCTAGAACGGGGAGAAATGTATGTTTGCTATTTAAGCCATCCAGTCTATGGTATTCTATAGCGGCCCATAAGTGACTAAGACACATCTCAAAGCCTAAAACACCAAACCCAAGGGCACTGTTAGGAGGATGAGAGCAGACATGGCCAGCCAACACAACCACACCCTTACCCACGCGCCACCGGCTGGAACCTGAAGGAAATACAAGTGTGTGCTGAACATGATTCTGTTGCTCCTCGATTCTGTCTCCAAGGTGGAAAATAGCACAAGGAAGGATGCCAAGTGTGAACCCTTCCTAAGTCAGTAAAATTCTGGGAGAATCTTCACATGTGTCCTGAGCAGCTTTTATCTTTTACAAGGTTCTTATTCCAAAGGCAAACTCAATTACTGTTGATGCTATGAATCAGGGGTTACCCAAAGCCCCACCTGAATGGCAAGGGGCTATTCTCCTCCCCTACTCAGCAGGGAAGCCCTCGGTGAAAGAACACGAAGAAAAGGGCAGGATACTGCCCCTTTAGACCACATATAATTAAAATAAGAAGCTCTGTGCTGTGAAAAACTAAGGCCTGCAGCTTAAGACTGACTCAGAGAAGGATAAAGTAGTCACCCATGTTCAGAAAGAGAAAAGATTAGTCTCACAAGGACAGGTCTCCAAATTGACACCAAATCCAGGAGTTAGAGATGCCTGTGGTACAGAGCGTGAGCTAAGCACCAGCGGCGGCCCCAAAGAAAAATCCCCAGGAACACATGACCAAGGGGCTAGCATTGTAAGAATGTTCCGATCAGCTCTCCTGAAAAGAGGCTTACTCCAAGAGACTGGCAGACAGCCTCTGCAACACAGCTTCACTGAGGAAAGGATAGAAAATGAGTGGGGGGAAAAAAGGCAAGAAGTAGGATGAAGTCAGAGCATGAATCGACAAAGATAATGAACTGTTCTCAATAGCAAATCTTCATTCTTTGAGGGTAGAAACGGTTACTGCATTCCTATGTCATTAATGTGTTCCTCCTCAACCATTCTTTCAAGTAAGCATTCCCATTTTTTTTTTTAAAGAATTTTAAAGTAATCTCTATACCCAACATAGGGCTCGAACTTACAACCCCAAGATCAAGAGTCCCATGCTCCACTGACTGAGCCAGGCAGGTGCTCCAGTATTCCCATTTTTATGCAGTGGAAAACTGAGCCTAAGAGGTGACTTGTGCAAGGTCATATGGCTAATAAGTGACAGATTCAAAACATGTTCACCACACACCAAAAATCTATTATGTCCACTTCAAAAGAACTTTTTACTCATCTGAAGACAAGTCGGGTGACAAGGTTGCTTTAACCAAGCCACTTGGGGGTAAAAAAAAAAACAAAAAACCAACAGTATGGTATTATGTATTAATGAAACTGATCGCTAACATGGCTCAAAAATGTCTCTGAAGACAATCTCAGAGGTAGATTTTCAAAACTGCTTTGGACAATGACATATCACTTAAATAAGGCCACACTCCCACCACTCACACCTACACATACCACTCTAAAGGAGAACAGCACTCAATGAAAAAGTTCTAGCACGTTTATTTTAAAACCCATGTTGTTAACTTTTCAGTTTCGCTTAATTAGCCTTTTACTGGGTCAATGAAACACACTGACCCTCAAAGTTGGACTCTGCAGAGAATGACTGGTCTCCAAAGACATCAGAAAAGGTCAAGAAAGCAGGAATCCAAGAACAAGGCAACTTTTCATTCCTGGGTCACCACAGCTGTACTAATATATTCCCCATTCCCACCCTCTGTAAAATGGGGGCAATAAGTCTTTTCCGTAGCCAATTTCATCATAACACCACATAATTAGCAGATTAAATTCATTAAACAACGAAAAGAAAAACATAAATCTGGTGTGGCAACACCTTCTTAAAAACCTAAGAGCCATATTCTCAACTGAAACCACACACCAACTTACAATCCATGTTATACATCAATCCTAACATCCTCATACCCTGGCTCCCATCAAAATCCTGTCCAAACCCCAAATCTAGCTATATTTTTATCAGACAACAAAAAAAAAGCTTGGGTGAAGTGAGAGCTAAAAAGACAAACAGATATAAAACAAAACATCTTTTACACTGTCAAAACAAACATTATTACTGTTTATAAACACATCAGTTTCTTTTCTTAGCAAACATGTAAGATTCATTCTCCCACTGCCTACCTACTCTGGGTTAATCTAACCCCTTCAATCCCCCAAAGCAGTGTGTGCTTTTGTTTTGTTTTAGTGAGGTCAGAAAGCCACACAAGCTTGAATCAATGCCAGATATTTAAAATTTTTTAGTAGAAAACTGACATTACATATGGGGGGCAGTATTTTTTTTAAAGACATCAAACATCCCTCTAGCTTCTAGAGTGCAAAGAAACCCCCACTGGCCTCCCAGGTGTTAGGTGTTCTTTCCCAACGGATTCCCTCCAGGCTTCTACAGGAGAGACTCTCAAAGCAAGAATTTCAGGACCATCAGAAAGAGAATCACCTGGGGAGCACTGCAGGTGCCCATATTCCACTTTAAATGAAATCACTGAGTAGAGGCCAGGGATGTACACAACCTCCTAGGTGATTTGAAAAACACCAAAGTCTGAAATCCGTACTTCAAAGACAAGTCTTCCATCTACCGGGAAACAGGAAAACACATGTCAGGCGTGGAAATACGACGCGGGTAGAGGACAATTCCATATGGTGAAGACACACAGAGGCCTCGGCCAAGAACCAGAATGTCAACAAAGAAGCGGTTAAATGCAGAAACTGAGGGTGGGAGAAGGAAACAGGGAAGGAAGATGAAACAGAGAATCAAAAGCTAGTCTCGGAATCCCCACCGCCTCATCTCCTGGCACTTAAGAAAAGTTACTAGAGACGACCTGAACAGAAAAGGTAGGTAAGGCGACTCCTGGGCTCTGGCCAGGGTTCACTTGGTCCCGCTTTGGAGGAACGAGATGTATTTGGGGATGGGGGTCCTGTCTGGGGACCCCGGTACAGTGCTGGGAACGCGCCGGAGCCGCCGGTGGGAGGAGGCTCGGACAGCGCCCGGAGCCCCCCGCCCACCTCCATGACCGGGCGGCCCTCACCGCCCCTACCTTTGGCTTCCCGCCCGCCAGCCGAGGGGCAGACACAATCCCCACAATTCCAGGCGGCTGCAGCGGCAACCAGCTCCCCATGCGCAGACGCGGCGGCGACCCTCTGAAGCTGTGAGCGCGCAGTTATTACGTCACTCGCCGTCTCGCCCAATTGCCGCCTTCCAGAAAGATGTGCGGCCGCCTGCCTCTCTTTCCCGCGGGCAAAGTTAAGCCCCGCCTCTCTCCCCGCCTCTGCTAAGTCCCGCCTTCTAGCGCCACCTCTGATGGAGTGATTTTCCCCTGTATCCCTCCGCCAGAGTGAGAGTCGTCTGAAAGAGATCCCCACGGACTTGATTTTGCTTCCAAGCCAGATCAAAATGGGACTTCGAAGTTTCATCTGTGATTTCCCAACAGTCTAATTTCTTTCTCGCGGAAGGAACAACAGAAGGAAACCAGAGGACGTGAGAAGTAAAGATAAATCAAGCTGTTGCCACTCAAAATGGGATACATCCGTGTCTCGAGCAGTAAAAATAGTCCTTTGAAAATTCGTGCGGATGGGTCACCAGCAAGTCATTTATTTTTTATATTTATATACTGTGTGAATTGACAACGACCAATCATTTTCAAAATTACAGTCCTCCACAGCTCAAATTCTGCTCTACCCCCTGAATTGGGCAGAAATAAGTTTTAAATTTCCTTGTAAATAAGTAAACAACAAACAAAAACCCACCTCTTCTTGCAGCTTTATAGGAGAGCTTTGAAGATCCCTCTTCCACTCCTCAGAGGAGCAGAACCTTGGAAGGGTAGAAAGCCTGAGAAATAACCTTCAACCTGACCACCATCAATCAAAGGAAACTACAGCATCCATCCCCAGAGCCCTGCTAGGCAGAGATTTAAATGATCAATCTAGCCTCCCTCAACAAGCAAATGTGTTGAGTAGATCATTTCTCCTCTGATCAGCCATTCTCAAGTAAGCTCCCATAAGCCTGATACTCAGTTGTGTGAAAGCATTCCTGGCACCAGGAATCGGCTCCCTGCTCTCTCTGGATGGGCCTAGAATGTTGAGCATGGGGGGCAAGAGCCCCAGCTCTGTCTCACCACCATATTGTACTGTCCTGCTTCCTCCTCTCTGTACCCCTCCCACCCTCAGCTTTTTTTTTTTTTTAAGATTTTATTTATTTATTTGAGAGAGAGAGAGAATGAGAGAGAGCACATGAGAGGGGGGAGGGTCAGAGGGAGAAGCAGACTCCCCGCCGAGCAGGGAGCCCGATGTGGGACTCGATCCAGGGACTCCAGGATCATGACCTGAGCCAAAGGCATTCGCTTAACCAACTGAGCCACCCAGGCGCCCCCCCCCCTCAGCTTTTAAAAAAGATTTTATTTATTTATTTGACTGAGAGATAGAGAGCACAAGTAGGCAGAGCTGCAGGCAGAGGGAGAGGGAGAAGCAGGCTCTCCGCTGAGCAGGGAGCCCAATGCGGGGCTCGATCCTAGGACCCTGGGATCATGACCTGAGCCGAAGGCAGACGCTTAACCAACTGAGCCACCCAGGTGCCCCTTACCATACACTTTAAATCCTGCTGCCAGAAATCCCTTCTGGACTCCAGACATTTTATTCACTTGAATATGAATACCAAGCTACATACCATCCATTGGCTATGGGGATACAGCTGGGAAATAGTCCCACTGGGTTCTTACCCTCAAAGAGCTCATGGTCAGATGAGAGACACAGAAATGTAAACAGATCAGATCAACACAGTCCAACAAGGACTATAAAACAGAAGTATTAACAGAGCTATAAGAAGCCCACTCAGTTCACATTGCTGTCTTTCTTTCCAAATCCCTTATGTGAGTACATCTTTTCCCCATTCATCATGTTTGCTCCAGACAGCCCTTTGAGGCAAAGGGGGCAGATTTTATTCCCATTTTACAGATTAAAAAAACCTCCTTGAACTCATCAGATCTATGTTGTCCAATATGTTAGCCAATAGCCACATGTAGTATTTAGATTTAAATTAATTAAAATGAAATAAAATTTAAAACTCAGTTCCTTAGTCACAGTAACCTCATTTCAAGTGCTCAAGAGCCACATGTGGATAATGTCTACCATATCAGACAGCACTGATTATAGAACAGTTCTGTCATCACGGAAAGCTCTATTGGACAATAGCACTTTAGAGGTCCTGAGAGGCAGTGAGAGGACAGGAATGTGAAGTCAGAGCTCTCAGTGTTGCCAGAAAAGCTGAGTAGGGCCGCCAACATAGAAGAAGCAAGAAGCTGAAGGGCACTGCCAAGGAGACCAAGAGGAACTGCCCTTCTAAACCGGGGTCCTCTCCTTCCTGGGCTGCACTCAGATGGTGTGGGTTGCAGCAGCCACGGCAGGGCAGAAACCAGATGATTTCTACACTAAAATCTGGGCACATCTGAGCCCACATAAGCAGCTTCCTTGGGGGAACTCAGGAATTCCAGGTATCTCGACTCCGGGAAACATCAAGGACCTCAGTGACTGTATTTTCCTCTGTTTCTGGTTCATCTCTGAAGGCCTCATTAGCAGAAAAGAAAAAATAACAAAACAGTCCCTGTGAAAGGGATGTGAGGCTCTGTATGGCAGCCTCTAACCTGCTAGAAGGCCTTGGCAGCTCCAGGGGGCTTCGGCCAGAAAAGTCAGTAAATTTAAGATGCATTTGCTCTCAGCTAAACAGGTTTCTCCAGTTCAAAAGAAAAGCACTCAAAAGAAGAGACCTACAAGACAGACAAGATTTCAAAGGGTTCTCACCAAACAGCTCCCACTGAGGCCAGGGCAAACCCCAAGAACCATGATTCTGTCTCCAGAAACACCTTCAACCACACCCCTACTCAGGGACACACACATCTGACACAAATGCAGGTACCCACAAAGACAGCAAACCACAGGAACACACACAGGGCGAACACGGCTAAACCCTGTTCCTGTTATCCACTGCTGCATGACCAAGCATCCCAAAACAATCATTTATTTAGCAGTTTGGGTAGGGCTTGACAGGGAAGAATCAACTCTGCTCTGTGCACTGTCAGCTGGCATGGTTCATTGAAGGCAAGATGCTCACTCACATGGCTGCCAGTTGATGCTGGCTGTCGATTGGGACCTCAACTGGTACCGTCAGCCAGGACACTGGCAAGTGGCCTCTCCCAACAGCTGCTTGGCCTCCTCACAGTTTGGTAGCTGGTTTCTAACAATGAGCAGCCCAAGAGAACAAAACATAAAAGTACATGATATTTTTATGATCTAGCTTCAGAAGTCACATAGCATCTTTTCTGCCATGTTCTATTGGTTGAGGGAGTCACAGAGATCTGTCCACATTGAAGGAGAAGGAAAGAGAGATTATCTCTCTATGGAAGAAGTTGACATCATATTGTAAGGAGAACATGAGGGATGGGATGTATCATGGCAGCCATCTCTGGAAACTAGCCACAAGCCCCACACCCTGGCACAAACACCCACAGTCGTGCACACAGCTTACACATCTAGAGTCATACACAGTGCACAGATGTGTTTATACATGTACATAAATGAAAACATCCTGCGTTCACATATATGAACATGTCACTTAATGTTATGCCCTTTGCCACGTATATATTTCTTATATAATTACACAATTAGATGTGTCTAGGGAAACATGAAAACATACACATGGAGAGTAGTCTTGGACATCAATCAGAGACCCTAAGGAAACCAGATTGGGAGCAGATGGAGTATAACCTAGATGTGAGCTGTCCCCTCACCCTGCTCCATTTCCCCACCAAAAACCCATGGCTGCACAACCATCAGTGTGAAATGCAGAATTTACTGCAGGTATCACAGGGGTGATGGAGGAGAATGTTAATCTCACACACCCCACAGCAGACAACCTGGAAGCCTACCTGAGCAGTTCTTTCCTCCCAAGTCCCTGTCTCACTTCTATCACTCCGTGAATCATTTTTTATCTTTTCTTTCCCTTGCATGGTATCCAGTCAGTCAGTTCACTTCTCCTTCTCCTGGATTTTCCCTCAAGCCTCCAAACTCTTCACCCCTTTATCATACAGGGCTGTTCACATTTGCCCAGATCCATTAGAAAGGGTTGATGTAAAGACAGACAGGCAGAGATTGGAGCTGGAACCAAGGTGGTCTGAAGACAGGTTACTCTCTCATCTCTCCTTCTCACGGACCACCTGTCCTCTTGCTCTTGTCGTCTGCATCACACCAAGATGTATGACTGGCCAAGATGGTTTAACTCTACATTCCAAATTTGGGCTGAGTCAAGTTGACTGGAATAGTTCATTGCAGTCTCGACCCCCATACACACACACCTGGAAGATCCCAAAGAACAAGCCACTGCTGGGCTGTTGTAGGGCAGCCTATGTGGGCCCTCTCCTAGTCCAATCTGTGCCTACCCCTACACAAGGACCAGGGCTGCTTCTCCAAGCAGAGAGCTGCAGAAAGGATGTTGTCTGCTATAGGGGAATCCTGGGTATGATAGGCACAGTGACTGACTGTGCCTGCACCTGCTAGCACAGTCCTGGGTCAGGAAGCCAATAACGGGGGAAGCCTTCCCTCCTCTGACACTGTTCCTAATAAAGGTTCCCAAGCACCAAAGCTTTGGGAGATCACATTTGGAGAATAAGCCTGGCTCTGTGGCATGTCTCAGAATATTAGATCATCAGATCCAGCATCATTGTCAGAAGGGGAGCCTGGATTTGGGACTGTGGAGCAGTTTAAGAACAGGCTTCGGAATCGGAAAGATGGCTCAAATCCCGACTGCCCCTCACTAGCTAAGCAAGTGCTCTAACCATAACCTATCTTACGGGGATGTTTCCCTAGCTGTAACATGGAGATAATCCTAGTAGTCCCTTCAACAACTGTTATGGTGATTAAATGAGATAATATATGTAAAGCATTCAGCCCAGTGCCTGGCACAGTAAGTGCTGAATTGATCTTAGTTACTAGTACTATTCTTTTCCAGGCCTGTTGGTTACACGGACATGGTGCTAGAAAGTGGGTAAAGTTAAATCACACATAAATACACGTACGGATACTTAACTCACACAGGAGATCCTGCTTTATATTCCCACTTAACATTCTAATTATTCCACTGGCAGACCTATACATACCACACACATTATATATCAT